TTTGATGCTTAGCAATTTTTTTTTGATGCGTCAGCCCGTAGAAAGGGGGGTGGGGGGGTTTGTGGGTATGGCCAGGGGCTGAGCAGTTGCCATGTTTCCCTCCATGAACGCAGCAAGGGCTCCTGTAGTAGACTTTGAAATGGTAGTTCCCCTAAATAAGGGCCCTAAAATGGTACACCTAATTTTGGGAAACCCCCATATGGAGGGTCGGGATGCCTAGGATGAAACACGCACATTGGTTTTTTCATCCTTGTGCTTCAAAGCTTCCAGCGTTGCAGGACATCGGCCCCACGTTCATGCTCGTGTATATCCTATTGTTCCTCTTCGTTACCATCGGCATCTTCAACCTTATTATGGCAAGCTGGCCGCAGAACATAGGAATCATAGCTTAGACCTCATAGTAGGGTTGTATAGGGATAATGGGAAAGAAAATGGGAGCTACCATAATTATATTAGGGTTATATTGGGGTTATATGGTAGGCTCCACCCAGATTGGCACTTGCATGGAGGCGCATGGTCACGTGAAGACTGGCTGGCCAAATCACAGGGTCATTTTCACGTATCCTTCATCCTTTCGTTGCATTTCCCGTCGTATATCCATACAGGCGACATATGAGAGAGGGGTATAATACTTATCTTGATCACACGGCCAATAAGCCACTAAATGGCCCTGGTGTGTCAAGTGGCCTTCCCGTTTTTCGAAAAATCAGGTTCTAGATTGAGTCATAAGAGGAGTGTTCCACACTAGCCAGCATCCGATTACCCATTGTGCTAACTGTCACGGTAAGAGGGCATGACCCAATATAATTGTCATTGGAGTTATAGATGGATAGTGGAAAAGAAGCTGGAAACTATTATATGATTGTGGGTATATCTTGGGGTTGTAACGATATGGGTAATGGAACAGAACATGGGGGGAATTACCTCCCTAAGCCCTAACGCCGAGGCTGTCTTCATCGACAACGTCACTTGGGGGTGCTTGGATATAGTTTTTACTTTTTGCTTATTGTAATCCTAAGGAACAGCAAAAATTCATAATTTTTACTAGGGTTCCAAGTTCTCCATAGGTCACAGACGGGAGCACGAAAAAACGTCAGCGGCAGTTGGGCGCGACACTTGGGCTTTAGGAGCCGAATGGTTGGGAATTTCAGGTTTAAGGTCTTGGGTTTGGGGGTTTAGCATTTAGTG